CGACCCTTCGTCAGAACAGACCTTGGTAGTTTTCAATTAATATAATTGACTGTCTTAAAAACATTCTGCTCAACCCCCCCTGTAGTTCTAACAGGAGTTTTACACTTTGTATTACAAATGTGATGGTAAACCATGATCATGACACCTTTTTGCTTAATTTGAACATGTTTTGTACTGCCTGCTGTTACTGTTTTGAATTATTTGCTGCAATGCAGCCAAATAGGACAGGTGGAAACCTCAGCAAGAGATGAGAAATGGTGACAGTCTCCAGCAAGCCGATTTCTAGCACGAAACTTCACACCGTGATTCCAGCAGCAGAACAACATGATTGTCAACGTTATTTTTGCAGCTGGGAAGAGATTTAGTTGGCCAGTGATCAGAAGGTTACCAAAACTACTCATCAATTGGAAAGAGAAAGCACCTTTTTAAAAAATGCATGCTGTAGATTGGTAAATGCTAAGTATCTTTGTTATATAAATCAGAGTGGGCCATCTTGATGATGACACTGAATGCTGAAGGCGTTCCATTCCACGGCATGGAAATTCCAAAAGTGATCTCATTTTTCTTCAACATATTTAAATTTCTATGAAAATTTGACATTCATATCGACTTCTCCCAACATTATATGTATGGAGTCATTGGGCACAGAAACGTACAGGTTCTGATTTCTAGAAAATGTGTTTTATACACAAATCTGATGTTTTTTCATAGTTTGGCTTCAAAATTAAACCAGGAATAAAATCAACAACATTGTTGGTTTATTACAAAAAGCTTGGTTGGTGCTTTATATCTTGACAATCTTCCCAAGTCTGTCTTGCACAGTATTCCCAGTGCTCCTTTATCAGTTCATTTGACTGTATAAATGAAAATACTGCCTGGAGACATTACACAGGTGACCAGGTGTTTGCTATTTGAGCTGTGCGCATGAATTCTAAATCTGGAAGTAAAGGTTATATTTGTCTTTAAAGCTGCATATAGCCTTGTATATTATCCTTTGCAGGGTTAGGGATATTTACTAAGCTGATCACATTCTGTTCGGGTATATTTTTGCGTTAACTTTGAATACTTGTATTATGTTGCCTCTTCTACCTCACGGAGAACTGGGACATAAAGCTAACTTATATAACTTTAATTTTATGGCTTTTTTAAAAGAAATAATTCCAGCACTGAATATATCTTTTCTTCCAACATACTGAAAGGAGTATATGTATGTGTGTGTGTGTGTGTGGATGGATGAAGAAATTGCTGGCAATAATAATATTTGCAATACTTGCATTTGATATTTCACCTTTCAAGCTGGGACGATGTTTCAAAGTTAATAACAGGATTCACTGCAATCTGTTGTCACTTTACATGTTTATAGGCAAACATATACAGGTGTGTGTTCTCATTTCACCATGTTTAACATATCTTTAAGAGCCTTGGGTGGTGAGAGATAAATTATCCCTAGGCAACAGCATAGCCTAGAATGAGGCAGTTTTGCAAAACTTGAGGTGTTTGCATTAATCGATTTTATGATGGATCAGAGCAAGCGATCAAATAAATGCTAGTGTCTATGGTGGTGGGAGCCCAGGATTATTGTGTAAATTGCTACTGCAGAATAATCGTGAGCATTAAATCAAATTCTGGGAACTAGTGTAATAATGCAATTGAATGCCACCTGCCACCAGCAACACGTCTGCAAGTAATTATTTTAATGGGGGATTTAACGCGGATTTGTTGTTGTTGTCAGATGAGCGTTCACTTAGATCAGTCGATGCATCAAACAATTGAAATAGTTGTTATTACTGGTGAACCAGTGGCATATGAACTGAGCTGACGTCCGGGTACTGATCTGTGTAAACCATCACTCGTTTCTCAGTCTGCTCTTCAGTCTAATCGATACAGTATGTGAAGCAAAATGCAGAATGCTTTTCTTGGCTAAAAGTAGGTGTTCATTCCCAGAGCGCTGCAATGAGGAATATTGACCTGTTTTGTTTTAAACATACAATGGGGCAACAGCTTGATATTTTTACTCGGCTATCACTTGATGTCCAATCGGTTTTATCATATATAACTATTAGTAGGTCCAACATGATATGTTGTTAGGCTTTCCTCTGTTTCTGCTTTTTTTTCTACCTAGTTGTTTGAAACAAACTGCCTCAGTGCACTGTCTTAATCTGTTCTTCAGATTTGAAACTAAGGCCACTGTTTCTCTGCGGAAAACTCTGTGAATCATGGACGTAATAATTCCTTACTGACGCCATGATGCCCTTGACGTCTTTTTGTTACAACACATCTGCTTAAACAGCACCTGATCTGCCATGTTTCTCTCACTTCCAAACCTTGGCCGTTCACCCCATTTCTGTTTGTGGAACTTTGCTAGTGCGGATGGGAGTCTGTAACCAGGGGACATAAATAACACAGCGACCAGGCAATCGAAAAGAGGATTTAGGAGGAACAACTTCACACAGAGGGAAGTGTGAATGTGGAAGTTGTGGTTGAATCAGACAGTGCAGATGCTTTCAAGAGGAAGCTGGACCTTCACATAAGAGAGAGTGGAATAGAGGGGTATGAGAAGGAGTAAGGAATGGGTCAAGACTCGTGGAGTATAAACACCGACACAGACTGGTTAGGCAGAGTGGCCTGTTTCCGTACTGTACATTCTTTGTAATCAACATTTTGCACCCTCCCCCCCAAAAAAACCACTATTGAGCCAAGGGCATTGAAATGAACTGATCATAATATGATTCTATAGTGTAGTGAGAATACATATCGGTTTAAAACAGCAAGTAGTGCTGTCAAGCCAAAACAATTTACAATGACTCCAAATTTGATCGATATACATTACAAAGTTGTGCACAAACCCGGTCTTTGAACTGAGCTGCAAAAATCAATGAATGCTGTTAGCAATTGCAATAAATGGTGAGTTCGTTTTCAGTAGGATTAAATAATTCCTTTACAAGGAGACCTGGATTGGGGTCCTGTGTTAAAGTCTAGTCTGTCTTCTCAAATTCAGCCCAGAAAGTAGGATTGGAAATTTGTTGTCACAGAAGGACTTTGTTGACAAGCAGCAACTATGCCGTATAAGTACAGCAATGTCAGATCATTCTTCCACTGTTTCTGGTCAGCTCCTAAAGTTATTCTGTTCCTCAAATAACTTGAAATAGTGTCGGATTCAGTGGAGCACATTTAGTGTTAACACTGACCTGGTGCATTGACAGATCCTTCCTTTCCTTCCTTCCCTCCTTTCCCACCCTTCCTTCCCCACCCATTTAACAATAATCCTGTGTGTTCAGTGACCTGCTGTGGTACAATTCTTGGTTACTAAGAGCTATAGTTTATGGTCTGATAGATGATGATTTGATAAAAATAGCTTGCACCAACAGTCATGATTCCTCAAGCAGAGATTCACTATGTCACGCTCAACTGAGTACATCATCAGACTGATTCCCATTTCTTCTGAATATTTTGCTGGCTTTGTCGCAAGGAAGAACTTTGCAATTTGCAAGAAACTGCACAAAAGCTTCACTTGACATCCCCTGCTCACCTTCCGACTGCTGCACATTTTCAAGGGATTGTCACTGTGACCATTATGTTATTCTCTGAAAGTCTGTGCGTTTGCAGACATCGTGAATGTCAAGCCAACTGAATCACTGCTTAGGTAGATTTTCGACCAAAATCAGCAGTAGCAGACAAATGGTTCATTACCTCTCATGTAGATTCTGCTCAAACTGAAAATATCATTATAACCCATCAGTATCTCAATTTTGGTGATTGGAAAACCAGTGGCAAAAATGTGTTGAAAATCTGCTGGAAAAGTGGGAATCCTTAAGAAAGAATAGCACGTCCCATCACTGTTAAGAACTTCAAAGGTTTTGTCTGTCGATGATGTGATGTTGTAATGCTCTTAGCTCCAGAAAAGAAACATAATTTGCCTCTAGGATAAGTAGTCAAAACTGTGCAGACCAGTAGAATTAGTGAAGATAGCCTGAATAATATAGGTATTAATCCTTGCACTCCATCCCTCCATCCCCCAAAAAAGAAGAATTCTCATGGCAAAGACTTAGAATCATTAAGTTGTGCTATTATCTCAATGAGTAGATTGCCACCGCTAAAGAAAATCTTTGAGCTGGTGGTAATAGTTTTTTTTAAAAAAAGAAATGTTTTTTTCAAGGATCTAATGCCTTGGTGTATAATTTACATTGTTTTAAAGAGTGAGAAATAAACATTTTAAAAATATCTCCTGAATTTAATATGGATTGCTCTCGTGAGCCAAGAGCAATTTTAGCATTCTCCTGCTGTGCCTGTCATTTTATTGTTACTCAGCCTGAGAGATAATCACTTGGGATTGTTATACAGACTGATAATTATTTGGTTTGGGAAAATCACTAAACTTCTGTTTCTTTCTAGCTACATGTTGCATAATAACGATAGAACGGGCACTGCTACCTGCCACAGCAATGACACTCAGCCTGTTCTGTGCTGGCTTTACGTTGCTCTAACAGTATGTGTCCCAGGAATGATATGTACTGATGCAGTGTTAAGCTAATGAGAAATAGTGCGTCAAGCAGCAGGAGGATTTGGGGATGTGACTTACTATTGTTAATTACAGGTCCGCAATTACCAGGTGATCAGACAAAGATCACATCCGACATACTGTTTGCAAGTGTTGGCATGACCTTGTGCACTTTTTTGGCCTGGGGATCTCGCACATGGTCCTTATCATAAACCTCTTGAAAGTCTTAACATAATATAGTGACAAAATATAGGTTTCTCTGAAACTCAGGGTGCCCAGCATCATCAGACTTCAAAATATAATGTTTCCTTGTGGTATTTTGTGTTAGGCTATGATCATTTTGCAACAAATCCCTTCTGTTCTTCAGGAGGACATTCTGAAAAGACATGTTAATGAACATGGCAGTGCCGAGGTGCATGGCTTTAGGAGAGCAAAATTTGAGAGGAGTTCTAGGGAGGATTAAGTGGGCAGCACAAAGAGAATATAAAACTGAAGAAAAAAATTGGTTTTAAAGACCATTTTAATTGACTGTGGAAGGAAAATGTATCCCTATGAGACACTCGCAAGAAATACAGTTCCCGCGGATTAGATTAAAGGTCAGATAGAAATATGAAAGATACACGGAAATAAAAAGAGTTGAGAACTGGGAGTTGCAAAAACTGTTAAATGATGAGTATAAAGGGACCACAGTTTATCTGCCATGCTCCCCGCTCCAACTCCAACTTTGGTTTCTGCCTCCTTGCATTTAAAATAGACAGAAAAACCCTTGCCTCTCAGTGTCTCGTTTTATTTTTTTGGGTGGATAATTATGAAGAAACATGTTGCTGAGGTAAGAGCGTTTTTCCGCAGGAGGAAATACTATATTTATGTTTGTATTTTTCGACTTTGATAGATTGCTCTTCATTTTTTTTCCCACCCGTGTCTGATATCCTTGTTCAGCGATCCCTGAAAAATAATGAGAGAAATTCTGAATTTCATACACTTTCTTTGCAATTTCAGAGTTGAATAGATTAAGTCAGCCGTGGATGTAACCAATTTTAATATCTTGCTGGAATGGAGGGAGAGGGGTAAGCATACTACACTATACCTTAGCAATGGTCATTGGTGGCTCACATATATTGCAAGAAGTAATTTGAAGGGCCAGTGATTCATAAAATTTACCTTAATGTGGGACTGTTTCAGTGAAAACCATCAGCTTTGCTTTTCCATTTGTTTATGTTGGACATTATTAGTAACACAATCAGGTCTGGTGCGCAGAATCTCAGAAAACTAAATACAAATGCTTCATAATCCCCAAAATGTGAATAATGGTTTGGAGGTAATGAAAGTTTTAATTCAGAATGATGGTATCTCCCGGCCAGCTGAATTCATATTTCTATTTTTTTTAAGTAAAACTTGTTCAGCTTTCATACTGATCAGAGAAAGGCAGTCAGCTCACAAAGCCATCATGATGGTCATAGACAGCACAGGACTCACCTCTGCACTCTCATTTGTGTGTGCTTTCACATTTGATTATCATTTGTCACTCTTTCTTTCATCTCTTCCCACACACAGTCCTACCATTTCAACTTTAGCTTTCTGCATGCTCATTTTCCAAAGAAAGTATCAGCGAGTAGATGAACATATGGATCTGAATCTCCTACATAGCAATATTATTTTTAGTTTCATATATTTGTGGTAACAGGCTTTGCATTATGTAAAGTGATTTATTTTATAGTTTATGTGATTCGTAGCTCAGCATAGTGAGTCAATGCAACAACAACAAGATTACATTTGTATAGCGCCTTTCACGTCGGGAGGACGTCCCATCTTTGATCAGATAATAAATTGAGTAGACTGTGGCAGCAGAGACACAAACTCAAATCCATTGCTTCTGTAGAAGCGTTATCGTAAGGTCAGCATCAAATGCGAGGCACAATGAATGATTTAATGGATGAAGTTGCACTTTGGAAACATTAGAAACGGCAGTGAAGGACATAGTGGTCATCCCAGTATACCTATATATATCATTCTAATGTAACAATATACCTCAATACCATTGGACATCTGCTTGAAAATTGGGATATTTCGACACTTGGCCTTCTCTATACAACTGCTGTCTATTTCCACAAAGAGTTGACATGATATCGTCTCTTATTCAACTGGTAGCACTTCTGCCTCTGGGTCAAAAGATTGTGGATTTAAGTCCTAATTGGGATCTGAGCCACTATAATTCCACTATGAGAAGGAGAGTGGGTTGGGAGAAGAGAAGAAATGTCTTTTATGTAAGACATTAAACTAAGGCCATATTGACCTGTTCAGGTGAATGTTAACATTCCCAACCAGTATTCAAAAGAGAGTTGTACCTGGTGTCCTGGCCAATAATCTTCCAAATAAATTGTCCTTTCACTTGATGCCTATTTGTGGGACTTTGCTGTGTACAAATTGATTGTTGCGTTCGCCTGCAATTACAGCCACCATGTTTGGCAGCGATTATCTGTGAAGCTGGTGGAGAGGGAAGACCTTTCGGCCCATTCATTGGGTTGGATTTGAGAGGACAAAGCTAATATGAAGTGACTATTGCAATCCTCTCATTCTGTCTCAAAATGAACTAGCTTTGAGAAGCAATTTTTTTTCTCTGAACAAGTTTGTCCTGTAGCCTGTAGTTCATGTATTCACATAAGGAGAAGCTAATGATGTATTGTTTCTATTTTGACTGGCAAAAAAGAAGTCTTTTGCAATTTATTTTGTATACAAATGCTTTACGTGGGATGACACAGCAGCAATACTTTTGAAACTGTTTAAGATCTCATGTTCTGTCTGTTTGCAGTATTCCTGTGCCATCTCCAATCATAGTTCTTCCAGAGCTCGTACTTATTAGAGAATTTCTCCCCAGTGTACCACTCAGTGGGTGTATAATAATCTCACAGTTCATTTAATCAGATGTGAAGTTGAAACTTTTGTGAACAATCAACTTAAATGCACTGTAGGCGTAACATTAGAATAGAAAATTATTGGCAGTTTAATCTTCTTCCTTATTATTGGGGATTGTGTTACACAGGACAAATTATAGCATCCTTAGGAAAGCTTTGTTACACACTATAAAGTCATGTCAATAATTCACAGTAACACAGTTTGCTGATACTCCTCTGGTAACTGCAGTGTTTGTTGTGAGCAAAGAGGTATTCCATTTCCTGACTATTCAAATGTTAAATTAAATTCACATAATGAGATTAAACTACTGAGCAGGAAACTGCGATTGAGCCCTTCAAAGCACAGTTGCAATAATTTTGGTTATTGTTAAGGTTCATATGGACTTGAGGGAGTGCAGGAAGTGCAGTGGGAGGAAGAGAGAGTAGACCAGACTTGGGCAAAGAGTATGGGGTAGAATCTGGGGCTGGAGAGGATTACTTAGGTAGGGCAGGCAGACGCTTTGGAAGGATTTGAAAACCACAGTAAGGATTTTAAAGCCTTCCTCTGCAATCTTGTAAACCAGAGGAGTTGACTGGCTACTTATGTGTTTAGCGTGTGAGATAATGTATAATCTAATTTCAAAGTGGAAACACAATAGTGCTTATTTAACATAAATGCCTTTGGCTTAATATTATCATAATATTAATATCATATCTGATTCCTGTAAATGTGAATGTTTTAATTTACTGAAGCCAAATGTAAACCTTCAGTGTGGATAGCACGAGGGAGTTGTGTATCACAAGTTGTTCTGATTGATTTTTATTATATTGGCGGCCACAAAGGAGTGTGAACGGATGCAGGCAGAGTACGGGTATTTTTTGTGCTGCACTACAGCAGCAGAAATAGTTTTCTCCTGTCACATATCAACGTGACTGGCTCCATAATTACTCAAATGTCAAGTCACAACTAAGTACAATTTGTTAGATCAAATGTCAGTCTCAAAGAGCATTGCCGCTGGTTTGGAGAGGAAAGTTAAATCACTTGCGCAAGTGATGGATGTCATTTCCAACGTGCATCACGACATCACACAAGTGTTGGACACAGATTTTTTTTTGCAGCAAGAATGACATCCGCGATGAATGCTTGTAACAGCTCCTCTTCAATCCAGAGGAGTGTCTGATTGCAAGCCCAAACAGCACCAGAGTTTTTTTACAGTAATAGTGGTCATTTCTTAGTCCATGTGTGTCTCACCATGGTGTTTTGCATTTCTTTCATGAAGAAGAATTGACGAGGGATACTGTGTGGACTTTAATGTGATAATGAAGTTGCATTTGATATTAACTAGGATATCTCTGGAGTGTGATTGCCAGTACTTATAATTCTATACATAATTTCGCTCACAATATACAAAGTCAATTCCCTTTAAAGTATATTCTGTGAAGCTCTTTGAGATGTCTCAACTAATATATAAAATGTAAGGCTTTTTAAAAAAATTATTATACCCACTCTTTATTTCTTAGACCAGTTAATTGTAATGGTTTGAAATGCGGACTCATTTAATTATGTGTTCATTTCAGCAGGTTGTGAAAACCTCAAACAGAAACTTCTTTTGTAGTTTATCTTCAGCATCCTACATTTATTTGCCTATTTGCTAAGAAATACACCACTGGTTTTAAAGAGAGAACAGATAACGTAAACCAAATATGACAAAGGCATCCTTAATGATTAAATACCGTTAGTGGTTATAATAATAATAACTAATTATTATTATAAACACTTAGTTGTTATATGGGGTGTAAAGCAAGTTTATCAAGCAATGGAAATGTTGAACAGTCTCCATTAATGTGGCAATTAGTTCGATATGTTGATTTAAATAAGTGACTCTCACACTCTGGAGATGACCAACAATCCTTGAATTTGATACACAGTACTGCCTTCTCCTGTTGGGGAGACATCTCAAAGTGCTTCAAAAGCTTTGCTGTAAAGTGTAGTGACTATTTTGTAAGAGAAGCAAACAAAATGGACAAATCTTTGTTCCATACGATGTTTAGTTGACGATACATGTGAAGGAAATCATCACCTTCGCAGAAAGTAAAATGCACTGTTATTTACCTCGTGTTGTTGATGGTTTATTACTGCAGTGTGTTGCTAGATAATGGGTCAGACTTAATTTATTATTTTGTAAAAGAGAGGGCTGACACCACAATTACAAATTTATCGGGTGGGGTGGGTGAGAGAGAGAGGATAGATGCTTCCCTGAGTTTGCGCAGTATTCTTTGTCCTCTGGGACCTCGATTCATACATATCTAGCCCAGACTAATAAGAAAAGAGAACCTTTTCTTTGCTGAAGGTTAGAATGTGATATGGAATTCATTTGGACAATCTCAACCTATTTCCGAGTGAAGCTCAGTGCCATAATTGAACGAAAATTAGTCCTGCATTGGCTACTTTTAATCTAACTATAGAGATGGTGGGCTTGGGAAATTGGAGCGGGAATGAATGGTGGGGGGGGGTGGGGGTTGGAATTAAGGCTCATTATTGGGCGGAGGAGAGGCAGTTCTTGCTGTGCTTCTCCCTGACCTGAGAAACTCTTAATACGAACATAAGGAGAGGAAAAAGCAAAATAAAAGTCGCATTTCCCAGCGATGACATCCTTCATTTTGGGAGCGCAGAAAAACATTTTCAAAACAAATCCAAATGTGTAAAAATAATTAATGGTACTCCCCAATGGAGCCACAGGACAGTCGATTGCTTTGAACCTCCTGCAACGTTGGCAGACAGCTGTCATCAGGCATTGATAAGTACAGCTTCTGCCCTCTGATCCACAAACCAATTCTCTCGGTTACAAAATCCCAGGTTCTGCTTTTTCCTGTCATGTGCGTTGGCCAATTAAGTTGTTTCTATTTAAAAAAAATTAAGAGTTCAGTCGAATCCAACAGGATCTTATTCTAATAATAATAATAATAATCCTGGCATTTGATATAGTGCTTTTCACGTCGGGAGGACGTCCCAAAGCGCTTTACAGAACACACTGTAAAGTGAATTGACTGTATATTTGTGGGCGAACGCGGCAGCCAATTGCGCACAGCAATGTCCCACAAACAGTCGTAGATTGAAAATGACCAATTTATTATTGTTTTTGGTTATGGAGGGATTATTATTAGGCTCTGTGTGGAGTAAGGAAACTTGCCCAAGGGTTCGCCCTCTGCCTGGAATTGAACTCAGGTCTCTCACTTGCAAAGCGAGTGCTCTAACCACTGAGCTACAGGACTCCACATTCTCTTTTTAAAATAAAGTTTTAATTAGATTTTGTTTGAATAGGTGAGATGTGTGAGTAACTATGGCGATTGATTGTGCGTGGGAGGACTGATGTAATCCCATTCCTGGTGTGGTGAAATGTTTAGCAATTTTAAGCACTTGCAAACGTATTGCTTGAGCTCAGTTCACAAGCAGTTTTGATAACTGCTTACACGTTTGTCGTGAAATTAATTATGTATCGATGGAAACTTAGGCTTGACAGCACAAAGGCAAATTTTCTGAAGTGTACATCTGAACGTTGAGTTTATTTTACATTGATTTATTAGAAACGGCTACAAAAGAGAGTTGCATGGTATTTTGGGGAGGTTGCTAAGGTTAATTGATAGTAATTTTTACACACCGCCTCCTTTTAGATCAGTTACTCAGCACATCAATCCTGGACTTTACTGTTCCACATTAGTCCTTGCCAACTGAGCCATTCTGCGCCCTAAATTTTCTAATACTCTTGCCGTAAAATGTAACATGGCCTTTAAAGCTCTATTTGGCAATAAAATCCACAGGAGAATCTGTTTTAAACAGCCAGTACCACTTCATTTGAAACATTCTATTTTCTTGGGAGTCACAAGGTAGAACAAGTATTTTTCTACCACATTGCCTCAAAACATCATCTCTATTTTTCAGAGATCAAGATCTGTACGTAGACAAACTGAGTACCAATGCTATTAAATTATTTTTTCAAGCATTTTAAATAAAGGATAATGCTATCGCTATTTATTGATAAGTGACAAATTAAAACGTGATGAACAATGTACAGGTAAATAATGTATAGATTTTTGTTCTTCTCTAATAGTACATTGATTTGTACGGAGTGCAAGTCATCAGTAAATTTGGTAATAGAATGAAATCTTGTCGTGACAGAGCATTGTATATTGCAGTGATTATATATTGATCTGCGTACAAATGTCTTTTAGTGGCCTCTCTTTTACAGCTCCAGGATCCATTTAGCTGCAATCTGCCTGTCAAATATGTTTAAAAAAATATTTTTGCTATACAAACCCACAAGAAAGATTTAGAAAGACAGCTTGTGGTGCCTATTTAACGTAACTTTTATTTCAAATGAGTTGGATGTTTTTTTCTTTGTTCAGCCTCAAATTGGTGGAAATGGAAACTGCAACTGAATGCTTTCAGTTTGGTTTTAATTTTTCTTTTGTGCCTTTATTTTTAGTGTCTGGTTCTGTCTGCTGGCAGGGTGGTTTGTCTCTGGGATTCGTTTGGTTGATTGGAGGCGCCGATTGCCTCAGTCTGATGTGCTCACTTTAACCTCAACTTTTTGGTGTTTTGGCTGCAGTAGTAGTCAGCTGGACACTGATATCATGTCACCTCTACGACCCCTATAAATTGTCCTTTAATCCTTGCCGCTCATTCATAGCACTGTATAATTTTAATAATTATTTAACTTCATTGTGACTTGCACTGCTGAAGTATATTATTTATCCTATGTTGAAGTGAATCCCCGCGTCAACTTCACTTTAAAAAAAAGCTTTAAAAATGTTGCCACGTTTTAATACTAAATGCTGCCAAAGATGAGGTTTTGTTGGAAAACTGCATGTTTTTTTTACTTTAGGAAGATGACGCCTTTAAGATTGCAGTCATCATTTGGCCTTTTCTCCATATCCTTTAATAATGTATTGTAATAATCTGTGTGTTGGTATACATTGCTAATTTTGTCGATATGATAAAACTCTGATAACAGAATCTACTTATCAGTCATCATATTATGTTGTCCATTACCATTGCCTAACACTGTCTATCACTTCTTTAGGGGTATTATATTTTTATAAAAAACCCTTCCTCGTTTCTCTTTCTATTATCTGACTTGCCCCCTGAAGAGTGAGCGCTTTAATGGAGCAGGTGCACAAGAGCTAAGAGCAGATTAACAACCATGGTTCCTCTTCGAAGTGCAAATGAGTAGCCAGCCTGGGTTTGACATGTTCATATGGACCAGTGGAAATGAAAACTGCTGTGGGGTTATGGGAAGCAACGTCTTTGACATAGCATCCACAGGAAATGGGATGCTTCTTTCTGAGTGAAGGAAATATTCTGAAATGATTGTGAAACACCTGCTGGTGTTACAGATGTGCAAACTGCAGTCCACAGCATGAGCCGATATTGCAGAAACTACTCTTAACCACCAACTGTTTGTTTGCGGCATTTAAATCCATCTACTCTACGATCACTTCTATTACTAAAAGAACGTCGCTGTTAATCTGCGTGGAAGTAATCATTTCTGTGGGCATGCTACAAAAATGTATTGATTCAAATTAAAACATATAGTGATTTATTCCAGTACTCCTATCCCTGCTTCATATACACTCTAGAGATCCTTAACAGTGTACTGTATTAGAATTGGGGAGGGCATGTAGGGCCTGACAGATGAGGACAAGTTAAACATTTAAAACTGCCAAGGATAGTAGGTAAATGATGCTTTCAATGCTGATTCATTCACCTGCCCCTCCGAGGTATGTTTTCTTGAGTTCTTCAATAAATTATTCTCACTCTCAAATCATCATGACAATGAACAATATTAAGTCCAATAGTTTTATTAGGACCTGATAATAATAATAATAATCCTTGCATTTGATATCGCGCTTTTCACGTCAGGAGGACGTCCCAAAGCGCTTCACAGAACACACTGTAAAGTGAATTGACTGTATATTTGTGGGCGAACGCGGCAGCCAATTGCGCACAGTAATGTCCCACAAACAGTCGTAGATTGAAAATGACCAATTTATTATTGTTTTTGGTTTTGGAGGGAATATTATTAGGCTCTGTGTGGAGTAAGGAAACTTGCCCAAGGTTTCGCCCTGACCTGCCGGGGATTGAACTCAGGTCTCTCGCTTGTAAAGCGAGTGCTCTAACCACTGAGCTACAGGACTCCATAATGATAGACTTCATACAGGAGAAACTTCACACAATCAGTTAAATTGCATTAGCTAGTGGTACAGACAGAAAGCGTATTACATACCTGTCCTCGAAGCTGGGATAGATGTTGTCTTGATTGCCTGCAGCTCAGCTAAAGTAAGGACTCTATCCTTTAGTATATTACTTGTTTATCATAGTATGGATAGCTCTTATGTATGTATCCTTTATGTCATGTAGGCGTTGGACTGTTACTAAGATTGTTTAAGATGTGTCAAGTGTCCTGTCGTCTATTTCCTGTTTTTCCCAAATCATAGACATCAAGTTTACCATTGCTTACTTGTTCCTTAAGTCGAGTCAAATTGTGTCATTCCAGATAGTTAGTACTTAGCTCTGCGTTTCCACTGTGACTCAGTTCTGCAATTCTAGACTTCTTCCTTATGATTAGTGCTCAGTTCCGCATTCACTGAGTCAATCCCATCATGCATGAGAGTGGTCAATGGCCATATCATGAAGGATTCTGGATTTTTTACTCTCCCTGGAGGGATGCATCCTGCTTACCTAATTCTGGAAAGTATTAGGTGCAGGTTTGCAAGAGCCAAGGCTTAGGGACCCCAATTGGGGTAACTGCTGTAGTCTAACTAGCTAAAACCACGCAGCTTGCCATTGAGAGGACTGCCTCGCAAGCTTTCCCACTGCTTCTCCCACGATGTAACTTGCTTGTTAGATTCTGTGAGTGCCCTGAAACGGATCCATCCATTTGTCCAGGAATCTGTACTTTGAATTGAACCGGAGGTTGATGTATTGCAACTAAGCCAGGAAATTTAATATCAGTTTGGTACAAACTATTACGCTTCAGACACTATTTTCCGACCGAAATCACAGGAATGAATGGGGTAGTTTATTTTCCACTCGGGTTGCTTCAGAATCTAGGCCATTCCGACTGCAAGCAGAGATGTGAAATATAGTAAAAAGGTCCAATGAGAAAGGAAAAGTAAAATGGAGAGACCATTGATATCGTAAGAATGATGCATGCCGTGTAATCTTTTACACTGTGCGTGCTTTCACTAGATCTTCTCATGTAGTAATTCTCTCTGTACAGAAACCGTACAGAATTTAAAATAATCTGGACTTTTTATTTTAATAGCCCAACAACTCCAGGTTATATTTGAAAGCGTACAGGCTTTTTGGGTGTCAAAAGTAATGCTTTAGAAAACCTTTTGTGTTTGATTTAGAGTATTAAAATTTAAATATTGATCTCTGGATCAAATATTCTGTATGTTGGGAGTGAATGGGAAGTGGATGACTCCATTATTATTTTGTACAGCAGGAGGAGATGGCAGTCACCGCTTCAAACTCAGCAAATTCTAACCATAGATCAGCTTGCGGAGTTGAGTGCATCTGTTTAAAATTCTTGTGGCGTCCTTTGAGGTAGTATTAAGGACATGCCATAATAGTAAAAGTTATTGAACTGTACCTTGCGCACCAATGTTTGAGGGAGTGGTGGTAAAAAGAAAATTATCGCTGTTATTTAATACACACTTGCTATCTTACAAAGCCAGAAGGTGTACATTATTAGTTTGTGGTTCAGAAATTTGAACGGAAATAACATCTGACAAGACACAAATGCTTTAGGGCAGAAAAAATAATCGTTCTTTGTGCAGTCAGAATTTAAATTATTAAATTTGGAAATCAAGGTATAAAGGAGCTCTCGCTATCTTGTTTAACTCTCGGTTGTTGCTGCTGTGATAGTGTAGAAATTTGACTGGAAGGGCTGTGTTTTTTTNATAGAGATTCTGAACTGCAGATGGTACAGCAGTTCCAATTATTTGCACTTGCCCAAAGCAACCTACACATTGAATTTTTATTGTCCATAACTCCTTGGACAGATGTGCAGCTTACCGACAGCAAAGAGCTATTTGCGGCAGATTATCCCTGGCAGAGCGTTGGATGATTGCTGATGGCATCCTGGCAATCTCAAAAGCATGTTCTGATTTCTGTCCTTGTGTCCTCTAATGCTAATGCTGTGATCATTGATGTGCTAACTGATAAACGGCCCAGCACGTATGCAGTGGTGGAGGGGAAGTAGGTTTTTGGCTGAGGTTATTGTGAATCGCAAACCCATTGCTTTTCTAGCAGGGTGTGGAAATGCTTGCAGCTAAATGTATAGATATGTGTACAGGTCTATAGCATTCTGTTCTTTTCCAGTAAAACAACTATGGTGTGTGGCAATGAGCTGCTGTGATGTGGAGTAATCCAGTCAGCTGAAAATTGCTTGCATAATGCCATTTTGTTTTAGTGCTGATAGAAATTCAAAAATACTGGCAACGCTGAAGGAGTATTAGTGTGTTTCGGTATATGAAAAGCACAAAACATTCCAGAATGTATTGTTGACTGATGTTGGCCATGATTATCTTGATGATCAAATATTGCAAATCTGCAAATTAGGCTGCATTTTTCTCACATTACTAATACCTCCTCTCTTCATGGCACTGCAAATGGTGGAATTTATATTAAAATGGCATCTTTCCATCCATCTGTCATTCAACTCCAGCTTGCAACCTAAGGAGCCGCACAATAATGAACTTGATACCATCCTTTCTTCCTCAGAATGTGCATGGGTTTTATGTGGACAGCAAACCGGTAACACTCATTTTCGTGTTTGAAATTTCAAAATTAAGTAAAATTAATTTGTGTCATTCTCAGACGCGGCATCTATTCTGTTTAGTGCATGCAGTTTCCACACTTAGAGGTTTATAAGCACTCATCTTAAAGTATATTTAAAATCAACATATTAAACTCTGTGATAAACATTTCCGATTTTCAATTACTGTAAGTAAGCTTCATAATAAACCTCTGCATGTATTCTATTGCTTCATCAAATTAACTTCTTGTGGAATTTTTCCAGGAACATTCTTTACAGAAGATCTTTGTGCACCCACTTGTCTTACTGAGATACGCCTATTGATTTCTCGATGTCTGATAGTAATTAAATCTTCTGTGGATCCCAGAGAATTTGTGTTTATTGTCGAATATCCTACTGAAAACTCAAACTATTGTCTTTGGTGCATTTGGTACTGAGGCTAATCATAAATCAATGCCAAATGGATGGGGAACTGCTGTGTAGGTGCAAACGTTACATTACCAGTTTTTCTGTGAATCAACCATTGACAGCGAGACAGGTGGGTCAGTGTCACCTGCTGATCAAATGTGCTGGTGTGAACAATGTTTGCCTGTCCTTTTCAGCAGATGGGGTTGATGAGAAGAGCCTACACAGGTTCTGCAGTAAGAGTACACAGATGCTGTTTCCAGAAACACCAAAAGCCTCTTGTATTGATGACCTGTTTCATGGACCCCAATCTACGTTGTAAGGAAACAGCGTATGTTTGCGATGTCCCACGCTACTGCAGTAACACAATGAGCGTACAACATTAATAATAATAATAATAATCCTTGCATTTGATATAGCGCTTCTCATGTCTTCTCGACGTCTCAAAGCGCTTCACAGAATATGCTGTAAAGTGAATTTGACTGTATATTTGTGGACGAAACGCAGCAGCCAAATTGCGCACAGCAATGTCCCACAAACAATCATGGATTGAAAATTGTTTTTGGAGGGATTATTATTATTAGGCGTGTGGAGCAAGGAAACTTGCCCAAGGTTTCGCCCTGTCTGGAATTGAACCCAGGTGTCTCGCTTGCGAGGCGAGTGCTCTAACCACTGAGCAACAGTACACTTAGTTAAACACAGTGTCTCATTTTTTTCCCCACTTAAGTGTTCAAGAAAAGCTTTTTAAGTGAGTGAATGAGTGGGGCACCAGTAAAAATAAATTGCCTTGGCAGCGTGTAACAGTTTAATAAAACCCTATATGTACGAAGGTCATATTTCAGAAATGTATGCAAATGAAAGTTTTCTCGATTCCATTTCAACACTATTCATAGGCAAGATTTCATTAGCCTCTTCGTAGAACTGGAGGGAAGGATTTTGATAAGAATGCTGTCGTTTTTAGTTCACTGGATTTAGAATTTAAATTATTCACCTCTTTTCATTGCCCTTGTTGGTGAGTATTTTACAGAAAGGTCATTCAAAGTAATTTTGATGCATTTCCTGTTTCCGAGCTGTCTGCTCATTCATTTCTCTCTCGCTCTCTTTACTTGATGCCTGAAATAGTCCAAGTGCGTGCAAGAGAAAGGAATGCTTAATGGGGGACGCAATCCATGATTTGAAAGGAAATAGGGCCGCTTGATCACTCCGTGAGGGCGCTGACTGGGATAATAATAATAATAATAATCCTTGCATTTGATATCGTGCCTTATCACGTCTTCGAGACGTCTCAAAGGGCTCAAAGGAATGATTGCTCATTGTGGTTTGTGGTGACCTGGAGAAAGGGGGGAAAGTGACGCACACTTTAGACACCAGAGTCTCCAGTAGAAAATTAATACCGGGAAGTATCGTTGCAGGTATTGTCTTTGTGCAGTTTAACAAGTGGCCAGTTCAACAAGACTCGCTGGGCCAATTGGCCTCCCTCTGTGTCGTAAATTACTATGTTTCTATGAAGTCAATGATGCAAATGTCAGTAGCACTGTTCCTGGTCGAGCTGAGGATCGGCACATTTTATTAAATGAAAAAAGTTTTTTTTGGAAGAAATGCAAACGTTGAAAATGTACAGTAATAACTAACGCTCTTTGCTTTCGTTATCGCGCCTTTCGTGTCAAAGTGTTTCACAGGAAAGTTGTTGTTGGGAGAAATCTGTTCTGAATTCTTTGAATTTTCCTGCACATGAATTTAGTGTGCTAGAAACTATGTCTCATCGATAGTGCTTGGTCACAAAGCTTTGGTATGAACCACTGTACCAAATATGGAAACGCATAGAGTGAAAATTTGACCAAAGTTTAGATCTATGAGATTGTGTAGTCTCAGAATTAGAACAGGTTAATGGCATAGAAAATGCATAATACAGTAAAGAGCAGGAATGAAGGAAAATATAAAAAAATTAAGGATACGGATTTATGGGAATAGTGTAACCTTTTATTTGATCCTTTAAATGTCATTGTATCGTGGCTTGCATTGGAAAGTGACATTTACATGGAGACTGGAAGTTGACCTTTTGAAGATATTTCACAGATAATGAACAATGTGAACTCTATTTTCTCTTCAAAACCAGGTGCTTGTTTTCATTTTACATTGAGCGTATTTCTATGCCGAAATAAATGAGTTCATCGAATGTGTAATTGAAAAAAGGATCCAAATATTAGTTGCTCGCCTTTCTCAGTCTCCGAAGTATATAACTTAGCAATAATAAAACAACAAGGTCTAATCCTACT